GAAAAAGTTGTACATTTATATATTTTGTGTATATTTGTATAACCATTTTTTGAATTTGTAGAGGGGGAAGGGGGTGGTGGGGACCAGGGATATATGGGTACATGGGTCATGGGGTTTTCACTAGTAAAACTAATGAAAAATCGATCGATGTCGATTTTTTAAGTGCAAACAGTTGAAAAGTAGAAATGAAAACGATGAAAATAATTTATCAAAGAGTCTATGTGGTTAAGTGGTAGCATTTGTCCAAAGTCATAAAAAAACAAAAAAACAAGGGAGAGGTTCAACTCTATTCGTCGGTTTCATCAAAGCGACGAAGGCAAGATCGATGATACATAATTCATCGGTTTAATGTTGATTTTCTTTAAAAAAAATTGATCTTATCCGTTGGTTTTGGACCTCGATTTTAACCCTTTTTTTTAGTAGTGCTCTTTTGTAGTCTTTGGCACGTGTGTGATACATCCAACTAGTGTTTGGGTCAGAAATTGCTTTTGTGTCAACTAGTAGACATTTAGCCACAAACAGAAGAAATATCATGAATTTGAGTCAAGCAAACTGCAAAGACGGATCTAGAACGGGTTCAATTTATTTATTCATATATAAATATTAAGCTATGAATTTCCTCAACACAATATGAATTTTAGCTCAGCGATCGAAGGACTTAATGTGTACCTAATTATTGCGGATTTGAGTCTCCCTAGACATTCTTTTTACCTTTTTGAATTCCCTTGTCAAATAAAGTTGGGGCTAGCGGATTTAATTTGACTCTTGTTATAGTGTGATACATTATATTCTGTTTAATATGTGACATTTTATATTGATTGTATTCTCAGAGTAACACAATTCATCTTATGATCCCGTAGCTCCCATCCCCACAACCCCACAACCCTACCGTCACTTCCATATTTATCTAGATTATATGCTTATGACTTTAGGATAATAATATTTTTACTTACGTATCGAACACAAAAAGAAAATGATAAACTATATAATGTTGATATAGTGTTTAATGGCTACCTCATGTTTAGCATCTAGTTTGGCTAGATTTTCATGTTGGATGCCAGCACTATCTCTCTAAAAAGTTGATTAGATTTTATAATGACAAGATTAATCTATGGATTTAATTGTTTAGATTTTTTTGCAAATGTTGTTTGTCACTTTGTTCTTCCTTAATTGTACTTATTAAATTGCAAGCATATCTTTGTCTCAAAATTAAGTAAAGTTAAATCAAATTAGTGGGTAAAGAATCAATTATTAGAGCAACTTTAATATAATTAACTCAAAGTGACAAGTAGGAAGTAGACAGAGGGCAGCCAACAAAAACTTATTGTCATGAGAATCAAAATAATTTAACTTATAATGTGGAATTAATGAAGAGCAATTCTTAAAACTTTTTAAGTGCATTGGAAACTATGTATTTAAAAAAACTCATTAGCATACATAATATGTATAACTTTTGTGTTTGTGTTGAGAAAACTTAATATGTATAATTAATTTAGGCATAATACATAAATGTGTTCTTTAACTTGGCCCCATTTCACATTTATGTCCTTCAACTTCGGGTGTGCACACGTAAACACTTAAACTTGTATAAAGTTGAACAAGTAGATACATGAGTCCTGCGTGGTATAATACACGTAGGACTTAAATTGCCTTGTAGAATGCCACATAGGATGCTTGTGTTTATTTGTTCAACTTTATACAAGTTTGATTATTTACTTGTGCACACCCGAAAGTTGGACGACATGAATATGAGCTGATACCAAGTAATTTATCCTAAATTCAATAAGTAAAAATGTTGCATTTTAAAATTCATAAATTTAAAATCCTGAATTTATATATAACTTTATTTTGCACATGAATATGATTTATTTTTTCTTCTAAAGAGAGAAGAGAATGGGTTGGGTAGAATAACTATTTTCTTCTCTTTTACGTTATTCGGTGGGAGTCGGAATTTGGATGGTATATATATATATTAAGAAGGATGGGATCACAAGTTTTGTAGACAAAATCTGATTAATACTAATTCATTCTTAATTAGAGGTTCAGAGTTTGAGTTTTTAGTATGAAGTAGTCATACACTCACACTTGATAAGAAACTTTTATCTTCCAATATAAAATTTTTCTTCGCAAATTCTGAATTTAATCAAATCACAATATGAATATCGAATATTGAATTTGAAAAGAATCCAACTTCCAAGAGCAAATCTTGTAATTGGTCAAATTAATGGGAATATATACCAACTAATTTGCTCCAATGAAGCAACCTATATACACTCCCTTGTATATAGAAAAGGGCTAGAATCCACTTTACTTTAGTAAGATTCCTTTTTTCACCCAGAAGGCATTTTATTCACTTGAATAAATTTTTCTTTTCTTCTCAAATTATTTATCTTTTTTATTTACTATTATTTTTCTTAATGAACGTAAGATAAGTTAAAATAATACTTATTTTGGGATGAAAAAAGTATTTTATTTTAGGTTGACGTTGAAATACCTTTAAAAACCGTGAAACAAACCATGAATGTTCTTAGAACTAAAAATAATAATATATATCTACTTAGAACTCCTATAACTCCTACATTTTACACTGCAATTATAAAAACTTGAAGTAGCATTTTAGGTTGAAAATAGTAAATTTTTAATGTGTAAATACGTATGTATTTTTTTGGAAATCTTTTAGAAATAGCGATAGCTTGAGACCTAATTATCAAATTAGTGATAGTATTGATAATTACAAATATATTGTTGTATCACTGAAATAGAGTGAATTGTAGATAACTATTCCATATTTTTTTAAACCAATATCACATAAAATGAAAGAAGGTAAAGAACTGATCAATTATAGGCATACTTCGACCTCATAAACTAAATCGAAGGGTGTAGATTGGCCAAACCATATAGAGAGTCCAATAAACCAATCCATCTCCAATTTGTGATTCCATCATCCCCCGGCATGCCAAACATCCCAAATGGGGCATGAACAATCTATCCTGGAAATTCAACATCGAGGGCCTGACTCTAATACTATGTAAAAAAATAATGAATATTACGTTTTACTTAGTCCCAAAAGCTAATTCAAAAGATAAAGAATGCCTAAAACTATATAAACAATCCAAGAAACTCATCCATCTCCGATGTGAGATATATTCCATCAAAGAGGCCACAACTTATCAAATCTATTTAGTTGATTTTTTTTTCTTTTTTTGGTGTGTGTGGGGGTGGGGGTTAACTACAATTTTTTAAACAATTTCTTGAAAATCTCTATCAACTTGGTTGTTTTTGCTATATTCAAGTACAAATTATTAATAGGGAATATGGTAGGGGTTAAATCTTTCCTTTAATTTGGTCTAGATGTGGATTGGTTGTTATAACATAAGAGTGACAATTGTGGGGTTCAGGGTGTCAACTATTTTAAAGATATGTAATCTCCAATTAAATAGACAATTCCATAGGCAAATAATCATGTGAAATATATATATATATATATATCTTACTCATAAAAATAAAGTAAGTAGAAAATAGTAGCTACATCCCCTCTTTCAAACAAAGACAACTAGTAAACATAGAACAATAATTTCCCACTCATTTGGGTACCCACCCAACTAAATGCAAATCTTGGTTAAAGATTTATGGTCAATTACTCAATTTAGTAGCCCCCCACCCCATTTGTTTGACTGTCTTTTCCCTACAAATTAGGCATTGCCAGTTGCCATAGACCAAAAAAGTGAACACAAAAGAAAAGGTACATCGAATTCTAGTAGAGTGGTAAGTGTTGCTTTATCCTTAATCAGAGATTTTAGGTTTAAATCCCTCTGGGTACGGAGTTGATCACATTTGCTAGGGAACACTTTAATTACCCCTAATGTGGGACATTCCGACACGAATTCAAATTTAGTCAAACTCTAATATGAATATCAGACACCGGGTGAAAAACCAAAAAAAGAAAAAAAAAAAGTATCAGAATGTGCTTTTGTGGATTTGTTTGTATCATAATGTGTGTATATATATTGCTAGGTATATATATATATATTTAGACAGAATATCATCGATTGGAGAAGGGTAGCTTTGCTCCTGCTGGCCGATTACTGGTGACTACTGATTTAGGTCTATGAAACCATGAAGTTTTTTCAATATAAGAGAGTACTATTATTGAAAGGAAGTCTTAGAGCAACGATAAATTGTCCTCGATTAACTCATAGGTGAACACGTCTAATTCTTGTTTTAGAATGTTAATTAAGCCTCCATTTAAAATGATTAAGGATTAGGGAATCTGAAGTAATACTATGCATTGATTGATCAAACTAAAGAATGTTTGAAACAAGGTCAATGATATGATGACATCCAAATTACACGTGTAAGGTGCACGTGACCCTACACATAATCCATCTAATTTCACTAATTACCCCATAAAGTAAAGTTTAGAGATTGAGGATAGAATATATTCAAACCTAATTACTACCTCGTAACGATAGAAACGTTGTTTCTGAAAGATCCGCGGACCAGTATAATTAACCATTCAAAATATTAGAGAGTTTGTATATGAAGGTTAAATTCTATCTAAAGACTACCCCACCCCCTAAACAACTTCCACATGTCCCACAAAGTGTTATCTGAATAAATCCATTTATAATAAAATAAAAATCATTATAGTGCTTTCAACAGTCAGCATTTTGGAATACCTTTTCATTTTAAATAAATTCTTGAAAAAGTGAAACTTCAAAAATTCTGCATACATATATAGTGTATGTGTAGTCCATCTTCCTCTTAAACAATGCATGATTTAAGGAATTCTTCTTTTTCTTTTTCCACCATCTTTTGAATTTTTCATGCTTTTCCTTTTCCTTTTTCATCTTTTAATTTCTTTTATATATATATGTATATATTTTGTTGAACAAAAGTGTCATGCATGTTATTTGGCTCTAACTTTTAACTACTATGAAAGTGAATGAGTGCAATTTTTTGTAACATATGAGAAATTTTACTAGACATGTTAATTATGTGTTTGTTGTAGTGTAGAGTAAACTTGGTTGACATTCATAATCAAATATTTTCTCTAATTTTTTTTTATAATATTAAAAATCTCATTTTGCATTGTGGGTAGTTCTTTTCTTGGAATTCTTGAATTAGTAAAAGCAAGAAAAATGAAGGCTATTTTGGGTTATTTGTACTTATTCAACTTCTTGGCTTATTATGCTCATGCTATGCTTACTCCAGCTGGTGTCAATTATGAAGGTTAGTTCCCATGAAATATTGGGGTTTTGTGCTTTGATTATCGCCTTATTTTATTATTGTTATTGTTAATTCTTTTGTATGTCATGTACTTGTTATCCATTTTGCATTTTTTTCGTTGTTGTTACTGGGACGGAGCTAGCAAGGGCTGAGATGCCAACCACGGAAAGTTATATCATTTATACATGGTTAAAATTATTTTTATGTATACATAATAGATGTTAAATCCTTTTGGTTTCTTTGTCTGCTTACTTTTTATATTTCGAACCCCTTATTGAAAATTTTAGCTACACCACTTGTTATAGTTTTTTTTTTAAAACAAAGTTAAGGGTTTATTGAAAACAACCTCTTTGAGGTAGGATAAGGTCTGTGTACACTCTACTCTACCTTCTTCAAATCATGTTTGTAGAGTCACACTGAATATGTTGTTGCGGATTTTGAAATTAAAAGCTCAAGAATTTTTTCTTCTTTTTTTCTTTGGCAGTGCAAGCTTTAATGGAGATAAAGAAGAATTTAGATGATCCTCATAATGTTTTAAACTGGGATGGAGATGCTGTTGATCCTTGTAGCTGGAATATGGTGACTTGTTCATATGATAAATTTGTCACTACCCTGTAAGTAAAACAATTTTCACTTATTCTAAAAATAGTATTCCTAACAAAATTTCTTAAAATAGTTGGATTATTGATTATGCAGGGAAAGTCCCAGCCAAAATTTGTCTGGCAAAATATCACCATATATCCACAACTTGACACACCTTGAACTTATGTGAGTACTTACTTAACCAAAGTAAATAAAAAACGTAATACATAAACGTGTCCTTTAACTTGGTGTCATCTATCATCTATGCTTCCAATATGGATGTGCAAAAGTAGGCATACACGTCCTATGTGAAAATTCTCATCCTACGTGTATTATGCTACGTAGGATGTTAGTGTGCCTACTTGTGCACCCCCAAAGTTGGAGGATAGATGTCAGGTGACACCAAGTTAAATGACATATTTATGTATTAAGCCTGAATAAGCTATCAAGACATTTGAGTTTTGATTCTTATTCTTAGATGTTAATATGAGTGTCCTGTTTTTTACAGACTTCTACAGAGCAATAATATATCAGGATCAATTCCTATGGAGCTTGGAATGCTTAAAAAACTCAAGACAATTGATCTTTCTGATAACAAGTTAACCGGCGAAATCCCGTCGTCTTTAGCTCAGCTGAAAAGCCTTCAATACTTGTAAGCAAAGAGAATTCTGAGATCTTATACAAACAAGTTTTTTTGGGGTTAAAAACTAATGATGTTTGTTCTTGATTTTTGATGATTATAGGAGATTAAACAACAATACTCTAACTGGAGCTATTCCTTTGGATTTGGCCAATATGACCCACCTCTCACTTATGTAATTTTCTAATACCATTTTCATGTTATGTTATGTTATATGTTCTTTATAACAACATTTCGCTATAGCAGCTAAAAAATATCTAGACAAATGACGTACGTAGAGAGGTTTGACTTTGTTTTGCATGTTTAGGGACTTGTCTTTCAACAATCTCAGTGGTCCTGTACCAAGGTTTCTAGCCAAAACATTCAAGTAAGAGTCTTGAAGAATTCTTTGTGTTTCACTTTTTCCTTAATATCAGTAAATGAAACCAATTTTTTGTATTTATTTGTCTTTTTTTTAACCTTATTGACACAGTATATTGGGAAATCCAATGATATGTGCAACTGGAAAAGAGTCAGAGTGCAATGGAACAACACCAATGCCCCTCTCCTTCTCTTCAAACAATCCACAGAGTAAGAACTAGCCTTGTTTTAACAGACAAATGATAGTTTTTTTTGTTTTTTGTTTTATGACCGTGGTGTCCAAGCCAGCTTTTGTATACTTTAACTAATTCCACGAGATACCTATCACCTCCCAACAACAATAGGTACCAGGTAACTCTGTCCATCAATGCTCGGACGGAGGGGTGAATCACCTAAGACCTCATGACTCTCAACCACTTCATTGACAAGTAGGTCACACCCTTGGGTGCACAACCAAATGATAAATAAGCGCCTCTCTACCTTCACAAAGGTAGGGGTAAGGCTACATACACACCACCCTCTCCAGACTCCATATATGGGATTACACTGGGTATGTTGTTGTTGTTGTTGTCGGTCGATATAATGATTATGGTGTTTTTACTAGTCATACAGATTTATGAAGTAAATATGCTTCACTGATTTCCTCTGCTGATAGATTCAATATTTATAGTTCATTCCCAGCTAAAAATATCCTGTGTTATCTCAGATGTTCAGCCTTCTGGAAAACCGAAGACTCACAAGGTTGCGTTAGCCTTTGGAACAAGTCTAGGATGCATCCTCCTACTAATTGTTGGGTTTGGATTCTTTCTGTGGTGGAGACAAAAGCACAATAAGCAAATTTTCTTTGACAGTAATGGTGAGTATTGTTTGATTGACACAATATGAAGTTATGGTCTAGCTCATCGATCCTCTCTTATAAACGTTATTGTCATAAATTGCAGAACAACATATTGAAGAAGTGTGCTTAGGCAACTTAAGGAGGTTTCAATTCAAGGAACTTCAGTCTGCCACAAACAATTTCAGCAGCAAGAACATACTAGGGAAAGGTGGTTTTGGTAATGTTTATAAAGGTCGTCTTAGTGATGGGATTATTGTAGCTGTGAAAAGGCTCAAAGATGGAAATGCAGTTGGAGGCAATCAACAATTTCAGACTGAAGTCGCGTTGATCAGTCTGGCAGTTCATCGGAATCTCCTCAGGTTGTATGGATTTTGTATGACACCAACTGAAAGGTTGCTGGTGTACCCTTACATGTCTAATGGAAGTGTAGCTTCGCGTCTCAAAGGTAAACATATCTAAAAACTGTCTCCTTTGACCTATAATTACATTGTCCTTCTTATTTGCTCAGCTCATAACGTATCATTTCTTGCAGCCAAACCAACCTTGGATTGGGGTACAAGAAAAGGAATAGCTTTGGGAGCTGCAAGGGGCTTATTATATCTACACGAACAATGTGATCCAAAGATCATTCATAGGGATGTGAAAGCTGCAAATATATTGCTTGATGATTATTGTGAAGCTGTTGTTGGAGATTTCGGATTAGCAAAGCTTTTGGATCATCACGATTCACATGTCACAACCGCGGTTAGAGGAACTGTAGGACATATAGCTCCAGAATATCTCTCCACAGGACAGTCCTCTGATAAGACGGACGTCTTTGGTTTTGGTATTCTCTTGCTAGAATTAATCACTGGACAAAGAGCTCTGGAATTTGGTAAAGCAGCAAACCAGAAAGGCGCTATGCTTGATTGGGTAAGTACGACAAATCCCTCGAATTGTAGTTACATTTCTCTTTTTCAGCATGCTTTGACATGACTTCTTGAGCCAAGGGTCCATCAGAAACAACGTAACCTCTCTACATCCCAAGGTAGAGTTAAGGTCTGCGTTCACTCTACCCTCACCAGACCTCATTAGTGTGATTACACTAAATATGTTGTTGTGCTGTATACTTGTAAGGTGTGTAGGCGCACGTGCATTCACACTATCTAAAATATGGACTCTATAGGTATTAAGAGATGCAATGAACGAACCATCTTTAAATCCTGGATCCGTCCTTGTTATTTTTTCACTTGCAGGTAAGAAAGATTCAACAGGAGAAAAAGCTAGACATGTTGGTGGACAAAGACATGAAAAACGAGTACGATACGATAGAGTTAGAGGAAATGGTTCAAGTAGCATTACTATGCACTCTGTATCATCCAAGTCATAGACCAAAAATGTCTGAAGTTGTAAGAATGCTTGAAGGAGATGGACTAGCAGAGAAATGGGAAGCATCTCAAAGAGCAGAACCAACAAGATGCAGCAGAGCCAATGAATTTTCCTCTTCAGAAAGATACTCTGATCTTACTGATGATTCTTCATTACTTGTACAAGCAATGGAACTATCTGGTCCAAGATGATAATTGAATTAAGACACAATGTCACTTTTGCTGATGGGAGGTGATAGGTCTCTCGTGGAATTAGTCGAGGTGCGTGAAAGCTGGCTCAGGCGTCACACGCATAAAACAAAAAACATGTGCCATATTGAGCTTTGTTTATAGGGTTATACAGAAGCTGCAAATAGAATATGATACATTCTGATTGTAAAGGATAATATAATAACTTTGTAAGGCTGAGAGTTGTTTTTCCTTTTTTGGTTCTTGTTTGTTTGAGTGGAAATGTTTATAGGATGTTATAATTTGTTTATGTATAATAATTAGAAATAGAACACAGTTTCCTTGCAAATATATCAGTTTAGAGTAGAGTTCTTCAAAACCGAAACGAAAAAAAGTTATCGATTTATCAATAATAGGTTATTTTTAACAGATAAAGTTCTAAACTTAGGTTTAGTTTTGTACCTTTATTTCTGATTATCTCTAACTCTATTATTTTACCAACTGTCAATGATTTTCTTTTCTTTGAGTAAGCTGAAATTTGTCAACTCATGTTCATGGTTTATTTGATTTGTCATCTTATTTTGATTAAACCAATAACAATCAATAACTAACAAACTGATATCTTAAAGATTATATAGTGATTTAGCATGTCTACAAGTTGATAACTGATAAGTCAAATCGATATAATAAAGTATCTTCCACCTTTGATTCTCAAACCACAACAACAAAAGGTATCCATACAATAGTGGATCAAGGTATATAATGAGCAAAAATTATGATAGAAGGTCCCAACCTCAGATGAGATGCAACATTACGAGCTATTCATCGAAATAGCTCGTAATGTTGGATTATGTTAAACCTGTACAAAATGATATATATAATAATCAAGATTCTTTCATCACCAGGAATGTCAAAATACCAGCCCTTCCCTCCTTTGATTTGTTTCCTATAAATATCAAATACACAAATCTTTTCTGACCAAACATTGTATAACATGTTTAAAAAATCAAAAGAGCAAAGTTATACATGACTAAATCCTACAATGGCTCTTGAATAAATTTAACTGTAGCTTGAGGAGAAGCCCGTCGAAATGTTAACAGGTCGATCAACATTTTCACCACTTTATCTGTGACATATATAGTAGGAGCAACAATCATTTGTTCGAGAACAGGTGAATGTCCAAGTAAGAATTTGATAAACTCGATTTCATGTGGCAGACCGGAGAAATCAGTCATATGCACAATCTTCAGTTTACCGAAAGTGCAGTCAGCAGGCCAGTCTCTCTCCCAAAATTCTAGATCATAAATATCGGTGGTGGTTGTAATCGAGGAACTCTGACAAAGACAAGGTGCGATAAACAAGAGCATTTTATGAAAATCTATATTGTTTAGAATAAGAAATCAAGCATTTTGACGTATACTTACAGATATTTGAAGCTCCTCTAGATTAGGAGAACTCACAATCAAGCGAAGCACAACAAGTAACTCTTTCATGTCTTCAAAACTTACTTGGTACAGTTCAATGAACTTCAGATTTTGATACGTAACGGGAAAGTTTCCTTGCTCATTTCCTATACTCAAATACTGCACAAAGATGGAGAGACAAAGAAAGGGAGGGTAGAAGGAAGGTTAAAACTTCAAATATTCAATCTATAGATACGGCAAAAAGATATGAGTGAAAAGTATTTTACACCCACTATTGGAAATTAGAAAGAGACCTTACTTTAGTGAAGTATATATGACCAATAAGCCTCTCAAGGCAAGGAACACCACCAAGAAACTTGTCGAAATTGCAACCTGAGCATTGTTCAAAGTGCTCAGCTATATCATCAGTCATATACATGGCAACTGAAATACCGATCAGATGTGGAGTATTCTCAAGGCGTATATCCTTAAATTCACCTTCCAAATTCAGATATTTGAGATTTGGAGCTCGAATAGTAAGCTCCAAACTGTCAAAATATGACAATGTCAAGCTCTCCAGAAGAGGGCAACTGGAGATGAGAACTTCAATATCATGTGGAGGAATGATAACTTGTTGGAGACTCAGGTGCTTCAAACACAAGAAGCCTTTGAAATTTGGAGGAGGGTTTAATTCACATCGAACAAGCACCAAATGAGTCAACTTCGGACAAAAGAACACACATGAAGGTGCTCTAAACCAGTCATCTTCTCCTATATCAATAATCAACTCTTTGATATCTTTACGAGAAAGGAAAAGTAGCCACTGATCTAAATCAGGAGAAGCTGGGGAGAAGGAAGTATTCAATTCAAATTTGTGAATCGGCCCGTCATGAAGAAACAGGCAACGGGTAATGAAATTTACAAGATTGCAACTGATAATTGATTTGTCATGGCCAGAAGTCAGACATGTGTCACTAAAAACAAGTTCTGTAATGGCTGCCCACTTGTATCTCCATTTTCTTGACAATATGCTTGTCCTTACAGCATCGACTAATGGAACTTTTACGAGGATGCTTTCTATGATACTTTGAGGCAAATCACTTAATAAATCTCTATCCAAATCAGTGTCCATTCATCAACTTCAGTTGGATAATATCTGCACAAAGATCAAATTCAACCTCTCAGCATTCAGAAAAGAAAACTTAAATTTTTGTCATGGACTCAATTCTGAAAACACCTCAAAAGTTACACTTCTTTTTTCTTATCAAAAGAAAGAACTTCAAATTAGACAAAACTAATGAGATCTTTTCGTCTGCGCAAAAAAAAACAAGAAATGGGACAGAGAATAAACATAACACAACATCACAACTTCCTAACCTATCCCCCTAATGAATAAAGAGATTTAAACAGCCTGCACACTTTGTATTCCCCAGGCTATGGAGCCCTTGAGGCAGATCCATATAAACCTAATTTGTAAACATCTCTCTCGTGAAAAGCATTATTCACATCCATCTTAGCCAAAGGCCAATTTCTTGAGGCTACTTAACTGACAACAATCCCGCCACAGACAATCTTGGCCACCTGAGAAAATGTCTCATCATAGTCCAATTCTTCTTGTTGATTGTACCCATTAGCCATCAACCAGCCTCAAATCTGTCCACATCACCATTGGTCTTATTTTATTTTGTAATTGGACATTGTATAGGGACAACTTTTTCTATGCTTGTATAGGGACAACATACTCCTATGGACATACAGACGGCCTGAGTCTCCTAGATGATTCTCTGAGTTCTGCAACAACTTCACCAGTTTGGTCAGGACGTAAATCACCAGCTTGTGCAACATCTGGTCCTATTGCACTTCTTCTCGAGACTGTGGAAAAGGCATTCCAATGTCAATTTCAGCAATGATATCCTATTTAGGCATAGCTAATTGTGAACTTATACCTGCATATGGCTGCAAAGTGTGACTCAGAACTGTCTCAGATCGGATTTAGTGCAGCAGGCTGAGTAAGAGTGATGAACAACTTTACTTTTCAGGAACCCCTTCTCTCCAAATCATATAGCTTGTATCCCTTTTGAGTTTCAGAATATCCAATAAAGACATTTTACTTTGCCCTTAGTGAACTTGTCCTCCTAGATCACTCCTCCAAATAAGTTGCTGGCAAAGCACAAGCATCCAAACACCCTTAAATGTCTCAGTTGTGGTATCTTCCTAAACATTAATTCATAAGGTGTTCTACCCTACAGGACTGTTGTTGGCCACCTATTTACCAGATACGCTGTTGTTCTCAGTCTCCCTGAAATCTATTTGGCAGAGAACTTTGAAATTTCAATGCTCTAGCTACTTCAAGTATATTTATGTCTCCTCTCAATTGCTCCTTGTTGTTGAGGGGTATAAGGTTAACTACTTTGATGTATAATTCCATATACATCAATGATTTACATTGTTTTGAGTTAAAACTCTATCTCATTATCGGACCTTAAGACCTTATAAATGACTTACATCATAGTTAAATTCAGTCCAAGTGACTAGATCATAGTCAAATTCATAGACATGCAAAGTGCTCACATTAGTAAGAAAGAAGCCATTAGAGAGAAGAACGAGAAGTTGATTGCTCTGTAAATATGTAACTAACTCTATTACAAAGATGGGAGATATTAATCTCCCACACGAGCTATATGAACTACTAACAGAAAGGAAAAAAAAAGGAAGATACACAACAACTCTTCCTTCTAATGCATATAAATACTCCTAGTATTTCCACAACCCCGCCCACTGCAAAAGGGCTTCTCCGTGCACGAAGTGCTAATCTGACCAGAGTAGGGTTGGGGGAAGGGTAGACATGCATTTAAACAAAGAGACTGCTTCCGTGCCTCAACCCATTACCTAGAGGTAAATCAAAGGAAAAACTCTATACATTTCATCAATTTCAAAAAAAGAAAAAAAAAAAATCTCTATGCATTTCATCTCTGTCTCCAACAGAATAAAAAATTTAATTGGGTTTCCACGAAAATGTAAAAATTGGGATTAACCGCACTGGGAAACAGTGTTTGCAAAACCCAGAATCCCTAAAATTCCATAATTTTCTCGATAACCCTTTTAACCTCTACGCCTCGCTTGGCCTATAAATCAACATATAACTTTCACCCATCAACATTTTAGACAAAACTCATCTCAAATATAGCAAATTTAATTGCCACTCAAATGTATTAAGCAAATTAACAGTTCTTGGGATCAACCACACAGGGAAACATTGTTGGCAAAACCCAGAATCCCTAAAATTCCAGAACTTTTCCAATCAACCCTTTTAACATCAACACCATATGAGCTATAAATAAATCGACAGATAATTAACTTTAACCCCATCAACATTTTAGGCAAAACCCGTCTCAAATATAGCTAATTAATCACATAAAAATGTAATCTTTAACAAAAAAATGGCACAGTAACAGAGTATAAAACAAATCAACAGTTGTATTTACAAGAAGTCAAAACCTGAGATTGAATTTGAAGGATTTTGAATTTCCGGCCAACTAAATTGTGATCGGAGAAATGAAAATGATAGGCAAATACATGCGGGGGTGTCTGCAAATGGGTGACAACTTAGGAAATCTGAAATGTGACGGCAAAGTATAT